CCGGCGCCTCCCTCCCGGCGGCGCGCCCCCCTCGCCGGGTCCCGGGCGAGGCGGGGCCCGCACTGCAGAGATGACTGGGGGATGAGTGTGCGCGCGTGTGCGTGCTCGCGTGTGTGTACGTGTGGCACCGGAGAGGATAAGCGTGCCTCTGCCTGTGGACGTGTATGCGCGCCCAAGTGTGTGTCCTGTGTGCGTGAGGGGTTGTAATTCCTGGCCAGCGGTCGGTGCACCTGTTTCTGGTTGTGTTTGTGAGGGTGCAAGTATGTGTGTCTCTGTTCACGTGTGTGTGTGTGTCTCTGAATGGACTTGGGTGTTGGATGAGTGATTTGAGGGCGTCTGAGTGTGCGTATCTGGGTGTGAGTGTAACGGGGTGTGTCTGTTTTTAATGCGTGTCAAGTGTACAGAGATCTGTATTATGTAGGTGTCTGTGTCCTGAGGATGGGACACAGAAGGGATTAGGTTTAGGACCCACCCTACCCTGCTAGGAGCCCTGATGGCCCAGTGGTTAAGAGCTTGGCTGCTAAGCAGAAGGTCGGCAGTTTAAACCCACCAACTGCTCCTTGGAGACCCTATGCGGAAGGTCTACTCTGTCCTATAGGGTCGCTATGAGTTGGAATCGATTCGAAGGCAAGTGGTTTGTTCTCTGCCCAGGTATGCCCTCATTAACATAACAAAAGAAACCCCCTATTTCCAAACAGTCACGTTTACAGGAAGTGGGGCTAGGACTTCAACACATATTTTGAGGGGACATAATTCAATCCATAACAAGGTGTGCGTGAATGTATCTGCGTGTGAATGAGCACAGATGTTTGTGTACAAGGATGCAATTGTACAGGTGTTACTGTGTGTGTAAGTAAATATTCGTGTGCAAGTATCTGTGTTTTGCCAGTGGATATGTGGATGTGCATATCGTGTGCATCTAAATGTATTCGCACCTGTGTTTTTAATGTGTGCCGAGTGTACAAGGATCTGTATTATGTAAGTTTCAGTCTTGAGGATGGGCATGGAGGGTGTGTGTAGGTGTGTGTGAGAATAAATTTGGGTGGTGAATGAGTGTATTTGAGGGCATCTGCGTGTGCATATCTGGGTGTGAAGGTAATGGTGTGTGTGTGTGGAAGTAGATATTCATATGCAAGTACCTGTGTTTTGCCAGTGGATATATGAGTGTGCATCTAAATGTATTTGTGTGTTGTGTGAGAGTGTAATTCATGCACGTGTCCATGAAGAACACACAATGAGCGTGTGTGTATTTATAAAGGAGTGAGACTACTTGTGTCCATGAGTGTGACTGTGCGGCTGTTACTGGGTAAATTTGTAAATGCCTGTGTGTGCATTTGTGATGCCTGCAGTATTTGTGTGTGGAGCTCTGGCTGTGTGTAGGTGGGAATGTACTTGTGTCTAAGTGCATTTGTATAGGAGTATATGAGTGTGGCGGTGTGACTACGGTTGTGTGTGCGTGTGTAACAATTTCTGAATGCAATTTTGTGCATAAATATGTGTTTACATGTGAGTGTATCTGTGGATGTTGCATTTGACTATATAGTGTGAGCCTGAGTGTATTTCAACCATAGAAGTGTATATACGTGTGTAAGAAGATCTACTTCTGAATGCATTTGTGAGAGAGTGAGTGTGCATACTTATCTAAGAATTGTGTATTAGAGTGAGTAGATGTATTTGTGTGTGGTATATGAGTCTGATGGTGTCTGTCGGAATGGGGGTGTGTCTTACTTTCTTAGGGCTGCCGTAACAAAATACCACAAGCCCATGACTTTAAAGAACAGAAACGTATTGTCTTACAGTCCTGGAAGCTAAAAGTCCAAATTGAGGTCCTTCTGGGAGCCTGTCTCCTAGTTTTTGGTGTCTGCTGGCAATCCTTGGCGTTCCTTTGCTTGTAGACGAGTCCTCATATGGCTTCTGTCTTCTCCCTTGAGTGTGTCTCTTCTTCTCTTTTTCATAAGATACCACTTAGAAGTGACTGTGTTCAGGACCCACCCTGCCCTGGTATGACCTCATTAACATAGCAAAAGAAAATCCCTATTTCACATACAGGTACAGGGTTTAGGACTTCAACACATACTTTGGGGGGATACCATTCAATCCATAATAGGGTAAGTGTGAATGTATTTGTGTGTGTGTGAGTGCAGGTGTTTGTGTACATGGGTGCCCTTGTACAGGTGTTCTGGGGTGTATTTGTAAATGTCTGAGCCCCTGTTTTTAGATATTTGTTTCGTATTTGTGCACCTCATTGCTTTTTGGTGTGTCAAAACATCTGCTCTGTGCCCTTTGGCTGTGTGTAATTGTGAATGTACAAGTGTTTGTGTGTCTATGAGTGTTTGTGGGTCTGTATGTCTGGGTGTGCAGATCTGGGTGTCATTGTGTGTGTATAATAAGTGTACATGTATGTATGGGTTTGTGTGTTATCTGCTTATGTGTGTGCTGACATGTTGTATCTGTTTCTGAGTGTATTTCTGTGTGTGAAGCTGGCGTTTACGCCTCTGTGTATTTGTGGTTATCGGCCTTAGGAAAAATACAACCAAAATGCTTCTCAGAAGCCCGGATAGCGAGACTTCAACTCTCTTGCTTTGGACATGTCTTCAGGAAAGACCACTCGCTAGAAAAGGACATCATGGTTGGTAGAGCGTCAGCAAAAATAAGGGAAACCCTCCATGAGATGAATTGACACAATCGCCACCACAGTGGACTCAAACATACCAGCAGTCATGAGGATGGCGCAGACCAGGCAATGTTTTGTTCTGTTGTTCATAAGGTCACTGTAAGTCGGAGCCAACTTGATGCCAACTAAGAACCATAGCGTGCATCTGTGTGTGCACACAAGTGTGGCACGTGCAGACGAGTGCGTGTGCGCATGTTGCAGTGTGATGGATCACTTTTGTGTGGGCTTTCTAGCCACGGTCTTGTAACTCCTACCCAAATGATTAGGCGGGACTGTGTAGATATGGTAATTGTGGCCCACCAAAGGGATTGGTCAGCTTTGCCCATCCCACTGGGCTTGAGGTGAGCCATCCCAGAGGCGGGAAAGAGAAGATCCCACCACCACCAAGGAAGAACAGCCAGGAGTCAGCATGTCCTTTGAACCCAGGATCCCCGCGCTGAGAAGCTCCTGGACCCAGGAGACAGAGAACAAGCTGTAACCCTGAAGATGGGGAGAAGTGGAGGCAGGAGTGACCCGGCAGCAGAGACCTAGCAGCAGAGACTCGGCAGCATGAGACAGCGTGGTGGGCTTCCCAGCCCACGGAGGGAGAAATCTGAGTGCCTTTGGGTAGAAGCTGAGGGCCAGGGAGAGGCGTGCCTGCAAGCACAGCTGGGGAGAGGCTGTCCTGATGGCAGAACTGTATCCTGAGTGTTCCTGAGCCTGAACTGTAACTGTTACTTCCCTAATAAACTCCATAATCATGAGTATTGTCTGTGAGTTCTGTGTCGCCATTGCAATGAATTATCGAACCCAGCAGAGAAGTAGAGAGTGCCGTGGGAGGAACGGTTGGTATCAGAATTAGCAAAGATGGCGGAGAGAGGAGGCATGTCTGTCCGCCACCTCATAGGAATCAGCTTGGGCTGTGGATCTTGATTCTCCTTCCCCCTTGCGAAGTTAGAGGAGGTCAGACACTGCCCCCATGCCATTTTTACATGTGTGTATCTGTTTTCTGAATGTAAATTGACTGTCTGAATGTATCTCTTTATACGTGAGTGCACTTACGAATGTCAGGTGTGAGTATATGAATGTGGCTGCGTGTGCATCTCTACAAGTGTGAGCGTGTATGTTTTGAATGGCTTTGTGAGTATGCAAGTGTGAGTGTTTGTGTGCATCTAGATATGTTAGTGCTTCATATATGAGTGAAGCTGGATGGGTGTCTGTCCAAGGGGATGGGGGTGCAAATTTGTACATTTACAACTACAAGGGGAGTTCAAGCTACACACACACACACACACACACACACACACACACGCACACACGCTGCAGATAGTGGTTTTGAAGTGCTGTGAGACCAAAGAGGACCACATCGAGGAAGGCCCCTGAGACGCCCCAACCCCGGAAGGCTGTCCTTGAGCGCGCCTTCCTAGGAATTAAGCACACATTGCAGGCATGTGTTTGCGCGATTGTCTCAGTTTGTCCGAGAGTGTGTGTGACCAGGTAGGAATGGGTGCCGCAGAGGAGGGGATCTGGGCGAGGGTCCTCCTGCTGGGATGCGCCCGTGCAGGAGTGGATGTGGCCCAGAAAGGGGCCAGCGTGTTTGCGTTCGAGCGCACGTGTGCATGTGTGTGACACGCGCGCTGCGGCTGCGCCTCAGCCCCCTGCAGGGACTTGGACGAGATTCTTTCCCCACTGGGACTCGGTTTCTCCGTCTGTGGCTGCCAGGGGATCGGGGACTCCTGGCTCGGGGAGGCGTGCCTTGCAGGAAAAACAAGTGCCCACTGCGCCCCGCCCCTCCTGTGAGCGTGGCACGTTCTGCGGCTCACACGCGTGTTTGCTCTTCCTAGGAAAGTTCCCATGACCTTTTTGCACCTCAAGGAAAAACGCTGAGGAAGACGGCGTCTGCCACTCGCAAACGCTCCCAGGATGGGTGGTGGACACGCGGGCACACGCTTCTTCACCCCAGGAGGGGGCCCCGCGGGCTGGCCTGTCCCGGCTGGGAGAGGCTGGGGGCGTCCCGAGGTGTCAGGGCAGGAGCTGGGCACAGTGCCCCAGCCCCGGGGCGTCAGGGGCCTCCTTGGGCCCTGCCCCCACACCAGGCCAACTGGAACACCTGGCTGGGCGAGACGGCCCCACCCACCCACAGTGGCTGGAATCGAGGTCCCACCTGCCCCTGGGGCCCTGTTCTGGAGCCCAGGGAGCTCCAGACACACTGGCTCCTTGTGTGCAGGGGCAACCCCCTCCCACAGTCCCCCTCTGGCGCTCCCCTTGTCCCTGCCTAGGGCCTCCTTCCTCACCTGTGGCCTCCTAACTCATTAGCCAGGCCCTGGTTATTAAGCTGGGGATGGAGATGACTTAGGGGGTTTGTAGGTCAGGGGTTCAGGACGAGGTTTGGGGGCATCTGACCAAAAGGTTGGAGGTTTCAGTCCACTCAGAGGCACCTCTGAAGAAAGGCCTGGTGATCTACTTCTGAAAAATCAGCCGTGGAAAACCCTATGGAGCACAGTTCTACTCTGACACACACCGGGTCACTATGAATGGGAGTTGACTTGACAGCAACATTTTTTTTTTTTAATGAACCCCCAGAAATCACCTGCAAAATTTTCTGTGTGTGCATTTCAGGGATCATACCAGTACCTGTTGCCATAAAGTCGACACCAACTCATGGCTACCCTAGGTGTGTCCGAATAAACTGTGCTCCATATAGGTTTCCTTGGCTGATTTGTCAGCAGTAGATCTCCGGGCCTTTTTTTTTTTGAGGCACTTCTGGGTGGATGTGCAATTCAACCTTTCAGTTAGCAACCAAGCACGTTAACTGTTTGTACTACCCAGGGACTCCTCTGGGATCATACTAACAGGTAGTTTTTGAGTCTGTCATATGCCCAACACAATCTCATTTAATCTTTCCAACAGACCTAGAATAATGAGTATTATCCCCACTTTACCGATAGAAAAACTGAGGCTGAGAGCCCCAAAGTCACACGGCAAGGAGAGCAGAAGGAAGTTCTGAGGCTGCCTGAATCTAGGGTTCATGGGCTTAACCGCTCACTATGCAGCCCTGTCACTCTGAGGCTGGCCCTACCTTCTCTCAACATCTATGACCCACACATGGGGTTAGGTGAGGCCTGTAGTTGGGGAGCATCTCAGAGCAAAGGAAGGTTGAGGTCCCCTCCTTGTACATCCAGCCCATTGCACACTGTAGTCATGGGATATGGGCAGGGCCACTGCTTTGGCCCCCCCACTCCCACAGTGTTACCCCCACCCTGCGGCACCTCTGAAGTTTATTATCAGGGGCCCCAGGAACCTCAGGGAGATGTGCCTAAAACATTCCAAAATAATTTTCAAGAATAATATT